TCTCTCTGCCCCTCAAACAAAATGGAGGACAGCGAGGATATTCATCTCATCAACATTCCGTGACATGCATGGAGAGAGGGACCTCCTCACAAGGTACGTGTTCCCTGAGCTAAGGAGAAGAGCCCATGACCTCAGAGTCTACTTGTATGAGGTTGACCTTCGCTGGGGGGTCACTGAGGAAGACACTAAGCATCACAAAGCAATAGAGATCTGTATGACTGACATCAGTAAGAGCAATTACTTCATTGGGATACTGGGCCAGCGCTATGGCTGGTGTCCTGGTGAATACAATGTTCCTGATTCACAGGAGTACGACTGGATAAGAGACTATCCAAAGGGAAGGTCCATAACTGAACTTGAGATGTATCATGGAGCACTGGCTGACCCTGACAAGGTGGCTGGTAAGGCCTTCTTTTACTTTCGGGATAAAGCAGAAATGGATGAAATACCTACTAAATACATTGGACATTTTAAGGACGAATCTTTCGAAAATGAGGAAAAAATTGAGTCACTAAAATCTAAGATAAGAACAAGCGGAATTGAAGTATTTGACAACTACCCCAGTCATTGGATGGGCGTGGTCCAGAACAAACCAATGCTGAGTTCCTTAGAAGACTTTGGTAAACGAGTCATCAACAACCTGTGGAACACTATACAGAGAGACTACCCACTGGAGGAGGAGCCTGAGAATCCTTATGAGCTAGCTTCAGAACTCAATGAAGAGATAATGGTACACGAGGGAGGGACTTTCATTGGACGCAGGAGCATCCTCCATGAAGGGCTAGCGGCCATTAATGAATCAAAAGGTGTGGTACTGTTTACTGGTAAGCCAGGGTCTGGTAAAACTGCCTTCATGGCTGAAGTGGCAGAAAAGTTTTCAGAAGATGCTGTGTCAGTTCATTTCGTTGGTACATTCCCAGGATCTTCGTCAATATCATTCATATTATCAAGTATTTGTTGGGAGGCCAAGAAGAGGTTTTCAATCAAGAAACCAATACCGGGGGATTACCTGGAACTAGCTAAAGAATGGATCACTTTCATACAAACACATCACGTCAGTAATTACATTGTCTTTATTGATGGAGTTGAGCTATTGGACGATGAGAATAATGGCCGCTCGCTGAACTGGATCCCAACCAACCTTCCTGATAATGTCACTATAGTACTCTCAGTCAATGAAGGAAGCAGCTGTCATAAAATACTCAAAAAACGAGACCCACCACCAAAAGAGGTTATAGTGGGAAACCTTGACATGTCAGACAAAGCTGACATTGTTAGGAGTAAGTTGGCCCATTACAGGAAGGAGTTGGATGAGTCTCCATTTAATAACCAAATGAAGCTACTCCTCACCAAGAGAGAGGCTGGTAATCCTCTCTACCTCCTGTTAGCATGTGAGGAGCTCAGGATGTTTGGAGTCTATGAAGAGGTTGGGGCTTTCCTGAAGAAACTCCCCACGACCACAGCCGGCCTCCTCCAGGATGTACTCTCACGATTAGAAGAGGAACATGGAGCAGAGCTGGTGTCTTCAGCACTGACGATACTGTGTCTAGTGAGAGATGGACTGAAGGAGACTGAAATGGCTAACATTCTCTCTCTATTATTCTCAAATCCTTCAACCGGAGGAAAGGGGCGGGTCCCCCCATCAGTACTAGCTAGACTAATACGATCAATGCAGACCTTCCTCCAACCTTACCAGAGCCACGCCTCTGAGACACTGATACTCTCACACAAGGAGATTGAGAAGGCAGTGAAGAGCAGATACTTGAGAGGGGCAGGGGCTGATAAAGAGAGACAACTCCATAAGATAATAGCTCAATACTTTAGATCAAACATAGACCCAACCAATGATCTCTCCTTCACTGGGACTGATACTCATTCATTCAATGAGTTACCATATCACCTGGTGGCAGCTGGGGACTGGAAGGAACTGGAGTCCATTGCTTGTAATCTCAAGTTTGCAGTACAAAAGTCCCAGCTTGGTCTCTCCAGGGAGTTAATGAATGATTATAATCCGTCACTGGCTAATGTACCAGCTGCTAAAGCTCGTGAGGTCACTCGGTTCTTACAGCTACCAAAAGTGGTTAGTTTTAAAGAATTCATCTCTCGCAATCTCCACATCTTAGTGAACACACCTTCCCTGGCACTCCAACAGGCAGTGAATGAGCCAGAGTCTTCAATAGTGTGCACTGAAGCAAAGGAGCTGCTGGCTAAAGCATCTTATCCTCTGGTCTATTGGATCAACAAACCAACAGGTTCATCATCTTGTAAAATGACAATCCCCTCTCATGGTGACCCAGCCCTCACTATAGCTGTATCTCCTGATGGTCGGTCACTAGTCACAGGACACAAGAGCTCCATCATTAGGATATATGACACTGACACTGGCAAAGAGATAAAGTCATTGGTTGGCCACTCCTCT